AGTTCCAGGGTGCTTGGGTGGCTCTGTCGGTTAAGCGGCTGACTTCAGCTCAGGTCATGATCCCAGAGTTTGTGGGTTCAAGCCTTGGGTCGGGCTCTGTGCTGACAGCTCAGAGCCTGGAGCCTGCTTCAGATTCTGTGTCCCCCTCTCTCTCCACCCCTCCCCTGTTCATTCTCTGCTTCTCTCTCTCTCTCCCAAAAATAAATAAACATTTTAAAAAATAAAAAAAATTAAAAAAAGGAAGGACTCAAAGAGTTCTAGACAAAGGGAACTGTGGGCGGAACACAGGTGGTTGGGCTGGGTTAGTCACACACTAAGACGAAATTGGTGAGGACAACAGAGTACTCCAAGAACCAATCAGCCTCGAGTCCTGCTAACTTGACAGACTCAATCCCTCTTCTAGGAAATGAAGCCTTCAGGTGGCCCTATGAACATAACAAAATAACGTCTTAATAGGAATACATGAATTTTCAAAAATGCAAAAGTGCCCATCGGTGTTAACAAACGGACAAGTTATGTAATGTGGCCCATATGAGACTGAAAGCCTATCGTTTGACGGAAGACATCAGCTTGCAAAAAACTAACACCTATATAGAAGGCATGACTTAAAAAGTCTTACAGACACAACAAAAAGAAAACATCATTTTTGTGTGTTTTGTCTGTTCCCTAAGGTATTTGAAGTACTTTTAAGAAAGAGCCATACCGGGGCGTCTGGGTGGCTCAGTCAGTTAAGCGTCCGACTTCAGCTCAGGTCACGATCTCACAGTCTGTGAGTTCGAGCCCCGCGTCGGGCTCTGGGCTGATGGCTCAGAGCCTGGAGCCTGCTTCAGATTCTGTGTCTCCCTCTCTCTCTGCCCCTCTCCCGTTCATGCTGTGTCTCTCTCTGTCTCAAAAATAAATAAACGTTAAAAAAAGAAAAAGAGCCATACCAAAACTTTAATTTCAGTTTAAAAATTTAAAGATATTTACTTAAGTTGGTCAACAATGTTTAAATACTCAAAAGAGTGATTTCAAGTTTTATTAGCTGTAAGACTTGAATAGAGTGAGCATTAAATAGTTGTGGGGGTTCTGCCACATATAAAAGCCTCTCTGGTATTGAGATAATTCTGTAGGGAGCGCCTGGCTGGCTCAGTCGGTAGACCATATGAATCTTGATCTCAGGGTTGTGGGTTTGAGCCCCACATTGGGTGTAGAGATTACTTAAGAATAAAATCTCATAGGGGCGCCTGGGTGGCTCAGTCGGTTAAGCGTCCTGACTTTGGCTCAGGTCATGATCTCGCCGTTCACGAGTTTGAGCCCCGCGTCAGGCTCTGTGCTGACAGCTCAGAGCCTGGAGCCTGCTTCAGATTCTGTGTTTCCATCTCTCTGCTCCTCCCCTGCTCACACTCTGTCTCTCTGTCTATTAAAACCAAATTAAAAAAAAAAAAAAACAGGAAAAAAAACTTAAAAAAATAAAATCTCATGAAAAAAAGAATTGCTATCAGTGTTATCCAATTCATATCTATTATTACTGGTAGAAAGAATCAGTACAATATAAAACTGAAAATTGTTACCCAGTAAAAGTTGGAGAATCACATGTTGTGTATAACATTGACAACTTCAAAAAGTCCCCTGAATCAAATTGTACTTGATAGAAATAATAAGCACCCATAAAACTACAGTGGCAGATGTGAAAAATTAGTAAAATTTGGTTTGGATCAAACTTGAACGATGAATTAAGCACTCAGTATAAAATTTGTCCAGGAAAGAACTGATTCACATAAAAATTATTTTAGTAAAATTAAAAATGGAAAAAATTAGAAATGAGTAAATCTCACTGCAGAGAAAATTGAGCAGGAAATTAAGTCTAATGAAAATTCATCAATGTAGGGACAGTTCTGATTAAAATATGTGCATTTATAAAGTAGAGGCAAAATGACATGAGAAGTTGAAATGGCTTTTTTTTTTAACTGTGGCCAAATATACATAAAATAATATTCATCATTTTAACCATTTTACTTATTAAATGTTTGTATTATTTTAATTTTTGAGAGAGAGAGAGAGAGAGAGAGACAGACGTGAGCAGGGGAGGGGCAGAGAGAGAGGGAGACCCAGAATCTGAAGCAGGCTCCAGGCTCCCAGCTGTCAGCACAGAGCCCGATGTGGAGCTCGAACTCGTGAACTGCGAGATCATGACCTGAGCCAAAGTTGGATGCTTAACCAACGGAGCCATCCAGGTGCCCCATTTTAACCATTAAAAAAAAATTTTTTTGGGGGCGCCTGGGTGGCGCAGTCGGTTAAGCATCCGACTTCAGCCAGGTCACGATCTCGCGGTCTGTGAGTTCGAGCCCCGCGTCAGGCTCTGGGCTGATGGCTCAGAGCCTGGAGCCTGTTTCCGATTCTGTGTCTCCCTCTCTCTCTGCCCCTCCCCTGTTCATGCTCTGTCTCTCTCTGTCCCAAAAAATAAATAAACGTTGAAAAAAAAATTTTTTTTTGTAATGCTTATTTATTTTGCAGAGAAAGAGAGAGGAAGACAGAGAGAGAGGAAGAGAGGGCAGCGAGAGAGGGACACAGAATCTGAAGCAGGCTCCAGGCTCTGAGCTGTCAGTGCAGAGCCCAATGTGGGGCTTGAATAAAGAGCCATGAGATCATGATCTGAGGTTTAACCCACTGAGCCATCCAGGCACCCCTAACCATTTAAAATGTACAGTTCAGTGGCATTCGCACTATGTTCACTGGTATTTTAGCATGTGGTAAATTAGTGCATGCTACCAAATTAGCATCTGGTAATTTAGCAGAATTTCCTTCCTTTTTAAGGATGAAAAATATTCGATTGTATGCCCATACCACATTTCGTTTTCCATTCATCTGTCAGTGGATACTTGGGTTGCCGTGAAATATGCTACTATGAATGTGGGTGTACAAGTATCTGAGTCTCTTTTGGTTCTTTGGGGGTCTCTTACAATTTCTGGGGTATATACCCGGAAATAGAGCTGCTGGATCATATGGTAATTTTACTTTTCATTTTTGAGGAACTACCATACCTGGAGAGGGAAAAGGAAGACTTCAACTTGACAAGAGCAAACCTTGAGAGATGAAATCACGAACATGCACACAAATACACATAAGTCACAGAATTATTTTAGTGCTGATTGAGAACGGAGCCCTCTGTTCAATTCATTGTCGTCAAGCTCTTGAAAAGGTGTGAAGAAAATCTTATTTTGATGTTTTGCCTTGTGCAGTATTTTAATTAAGACACTTTCATTTCATTTATTTTTAAATGTATGATCTTCTCAGCTGAATTTATAACTTACAGTAGAACCCACATGAGGACAATTACCTCAAGTGAACCCACATCTTAAAATTTCCCAGAATACTCTTAATTCCAAACATGTTGCCCTATATATCAAATATACTCTTATTTGCCAGATTATGTAAATTTCAATCACCTTGGGCTTAATATAACAATGTCCTCATGGTATGCCTCAAGTTTTTGTCCTTGGCTGTATCTTGTTTATTCCTCGGTGTTGATTTGGAGGCTTACAGAATTTAAATTTTATTTTATTTTTTTAGTGTTTATTTATTGTTGAGAGAGAGAGAGCGAGTGCAGGAGGGGCAGAGAGTGAGGGAGACACAGAATCCAAAGCAGGATCCAGGCTCCAAGCTGTCAGCACAAAGCCGGTGCAGGGCTCAAACCCACAAACTGTGAGATCATGACCTGAGCAGGTCAGAGGCTTAACTGCCTGAACCACCCAGAGGCCCCCCAGAGGCTTACAGAATTTACATAGGTAAGAGGTGGGAGATGGGCAATGTCTGACCCACAGATACACTTTCTTTGGCCTACACGGTGTTTTTAAGATTTTTTAATTTACTTAAAAACACTTAAAATTCAGAAATTTTTTACACAAAAATCAAAATTTCTGGCATCTGCTAAAGAAGCACATAGATGGCAACACTAGGCCCATATTCATTGGCTTGGTTGCTGTTTACCATTATGTTTGCATGGTTGTTTTTCTCACTGCGGAGAAAAGAGTAAAAAGTTTCCCTCTATTATCTAACCCACTACATCTACAGTTTTGCTGCCTGACCCCAGTTGTCAACTGGAGTTTGTGCTCCAGTTCTAAGATGTACAAGAAGGTATAGTGCCCACACTGGTTGGTGCAATCAGACTTCCCGGGCTTGAATGCCGACTTAGCCTTTCTTTGCCTCAGCTGCCCCCTTTGTAAAATCGGGACAATAAACGGTACTCACCTACCTCACAGGGTTGAGTTAGTGAATGTAAAATATTTAAGGCAGTGTCTGCAGTTTCAGAAAAATAAAATGGCCCAGGAACCCAGTTACCATGTCTATCTTACTATTGAATCCCTGGGGCCAGCACAGACCTTGGAACACAATACGCAACATTAAATACTTCCTATCACATAAGCGAGGTGTGCCAAACTAGTGATATTTAGAGGAAGGAACTGACAGGCGCGTTCCCCTCTCTACAGGACGGACAGAACAATGTTATAAGAAGAAGTGGTTAAGTAATCGGGGATGCAGAGGCGTATTGCCCTGGGGTGGATGGCGGGGCAGGAGCAGGATACCATCCTCACATATTTTGGGGAAGAGAGTGTAAGTGCCTTATAGCCTCGCTGGGAGAATCAGAATGAGGGAACGCGGATACGAGGAAAGAACTCGGCTTTTTTGAGGACAGGAACTAGCAACCCCACGAGGGGCTGTGAAGCGCGTAAGGCGAGGTCCCCCGGTGCGCAAGCGCCGCACGATGGCGAGGCGGAGTTGCCGAGGCCTGAATTCTGCTGTAACGATGTAGATTACGGCGACGTCAGATTGGTGAGAGTTTGGCGGGAACAGGAGGACGCCTAACAAAGGAAGTGATGTAAAGTGTCGCCCATCTGGCGGAGGTGGGATTATACGGCCTGAGCTACGGAATTATCATTTTGCTTGGTTGTTTTCTTGAGACACCGCCCATCAGCCTCTCTCTGCTCCTTGCTTCCGCTTGCGCAGCGTGTTTTGCCCGTAGTAAAAATGGCCGCAGAGCCTTCGGACCCCCGTGGCAGCGCAGGGCGCGTTTTCTTAAGCAGGGCCTGGGAAGACAGGAAAAAGTGTAGAGTTCGTGAGCATTGATTGGCAGAAGCACGAAGCGTCCTGGACGCTGATTGGCTCCGTCCTTCGCGGGAAGGAGTTTGTGGCACCCGCGGGAAGTAGGTGTAGCACTGCGGGCGAAAGGGGGTTCTGAGGATCCCGGCCAACCCACCAGACGGGAGTCTTCTGGGCGTCTCTCCTGAAGGGATCGTGACCAAGATGTGGTTTGGTAAGGATGAGCGTCGCAAGGAGGATTTAGCAAGAGGGCGGGGGGTCGGACAGACGTGTGGCGGGGGGAGTGGGGGAGGGACGGGGTGGGCAAGGGGCGAGGACCCGGGGCTAGGTGGTGGGGAAGATTAGGACGACGCTGGGAGTGGTTGGCCGTGGGGTGAAGCCTGAGGGGCCCGGTGGGCTCTTCAGAGGCTTGGGAAGCAGCACAGGCATTAATACTGTTGTTTAAAACCAGGCGGATCTGAAAGCTATGGCACTTCTTTTGGCGGAGTCGGCGGCGGCTACACACAGTCCCCGGGGGGCTTCGGCATGCCGACACCTTCCCAGGCTGAAAAGAAATCAGTAGGTTGAAAGAGCATTTCGTTTTATTTTATTCTGGCCTGAAGCTCCTAACTCATCCCTGAGAGAAAATGTCTGCGGCGAAAGGTGTTAAACATGAACTGATTGGATAATTACCAACTATTGTCGTATGGAATCTTACAGTTGAGTGCTGTAAGTTTCAAAAATGAAATTTCTCCCACTTTCACTTCCACTGTTTTTTTGGCTTTATTTTGAAGTTTACTAAGGAATCAGTTTTGTGGACAAACTGAACTGGTATTAGCCTATTTTGCCTTCTTCCTGTATTTGAAAAAAAAATTTTTTTTTAATTAAATGTAATGAGGTGCTAAAAAGCGGTGGAAAGAGCATGGTGTTGGAAGTCAGGTGGATCTGTGTTCTGTTGCTCTGACACTAATGGTCTCATTGGACAAATTTCTTAACCTCAGGAATCAAGTGGGATTACTGCTAAATGGGATTAATAATACATGCCTTACATGTTGTAATAATACATGCCTTACAAAGTTGTTGTGAGACTTAATATTGTGGTCTATATAAGTGCCTGCCTTATAGTCCCTTTTAATAAGTGATCACGGATATTTTTATTAAAAAAGACATGAGTGATGGAGCCCAAATACATAGCGTCAAGAATCGGCTTTTAACTGGCGGTGACTTTAGTGCAGCAACTTGAACCTTGTGGCCCTTGGTTTTTCTCATCTGATAAATGGTACTAGTACAACTTCTATCACAGGGTGGTTCTGAGAATTGATAGGTGAGGTAATGTGATGTATAGGAAAGCTATGCGTAAAAAGCTGTCCAAATGCTTGTTATTCACTCTTGCAGGAATGAATTTGCCTTTAACAACTACCGTTGATTTCATCCTTTAAACACAAGGTTGATGTGGCTACTCTTTAGCTGTCGTTCACAATGTGGTGTTCAGGTTCAATGTTAGGAAGTTCTCTGTTCTTTGTATGGGTTGATAAGCTTTCACCTGAACTATTAATTCAGGGGTGTGTCGGTGGGAAAGAATTCGTCGATAATTACCATACATTTGACACTGCATTATATTTTTCGTACAGATTATTTCCTATAATCCCATAACGTATTTATTGTTTACTCCGTTGTACAACAGAGGCTCTGGGAGATTAAGGGACTGCCTAAGCTTATATAGCTAGTAAGTAAATGGAACTCTAGACAGTGCACACGTGATGCTGAGCGAATCCAAAATCTGGTAAGCAGCTTCTCTGTGTTGTAGTTTTGTTTTTCCCAGCCAAGACCACAGGGGACTCCGGTACGCTTTGTCTTCCTTGAGGTTGTGAAGAAGAAAACAAAAGATAGAGCATTAGTTTTTATCTTTCCTGAGCGTAACTATTTTCTTCATTCCAGTTGATAGAATTTTTGTCTCAGGATCCCTTGCTTGGGCCGTGTATTAAGACAGCTTTTCGGAGAGTGATACTGGTTATAAGCTGAAGACTCAAACCCAGATCTTGCTGGTTTTCCATCTAGTGCTTTTTCAACAGTAAATTAGATAATCACCTTATCCAAAATGTTTCCTGTCTCCTGTAAACCTGTTATATTTTATCGAATCACATGAAATTTTCAATACTGACCACTTTTTCCCCTAAAGATGGTAGTTTCATACAGCACTGTCCAGAGTAACCTACAGTTTGTAGTCAACGAGAAAATAATTCTATTTTCAAATAAATATACATTCACATGCTCTGTGAACCTCTTTGGAACAAACCAGGAACTCCTTGTAACCAATTCCTGGCACATAATATGTGCTTGTTAAAAAACAGGAAATACCTGTGATTGGAGGTGAACTTGAAGCTATTGCTAACACCTCAATCATTATTGGAATAGTATTTATTTAGTGAGTATACACTTCATGGAGAGATAAACATTAGCATTTTTATATACATTATGTTTTGTTTACAATTTGAAAGGTAGATCTCCCTGCTTTACAGAAGAGGTGGTGGCATGTCCAGGGCTATGAAGCTGGGATTGAACGCAGGTCTATAGAACTGTGGCACCAAAGCCCATGTTCTTGTTCCTGCTACCAATAGTGGTTCATAGTTTTCTTATGCTAAAAATACAATGAAAATCTCACCTGTGATAGATGGAAACAGTATAGAGTAGTGAGAACTAAAACATGGGACCTCAGCAAATTTTAAATCTATAAATACTAATATCACATGTAATCTTGCCTATAAAGTACCATAAAATAAAATTGAAAAGCATCACTACTACTGATTCCTTCACATCCTTATTAAAAGCTGTTGCACATATAAACAGGAGCAGTAGCTGACATAATAATTGCTAACATTTTTGGCGGGGGAGCCGGGGGCGCGCCTGGGTGACTCAGTCGGTTAAATGTCTGACTGCGGGCTCGGGGCACGATCTCATCACGGTTCGCGAGTTCGAGCCCTGTGTTGGGCTCTGTGCTGACACCTCAGAGCCTGGAGTCTGCTTTGGATTATGTGTCTCCGTCTCTCTCTGCCCCTCCCCCACTCACGCTCTGTCTCAAAAATAAATAAACAGAAGAAAAATTTTTTAAAGTAATAATTGCTAACCTTTTTTGAGTGCTTACAACGTGCCAGGTATTCTTCTACGTACTTCACCATATACTTAATTTTCGGAATTTTTATCATTCCTAGTTTTACAGATAAGAAAACTAAGATACAAATGAGTTGAAAAACATGACCAAGAGCACACTGCTCCTGATAGAGCCATAATCTTAACCCTCAAGCTTAACTGCCACTTTTTGTGCCGTGTGCTGGTAGTTAGCGGGGCTTACTTTTTACCATCCTGGCAAGGCTCCCCATTCAAAATTATGCTTCAGCAGAAGGAAATACTCTGCTAGTATCATATGGACCTTCAGGACAAAGCTGCACCTTCTAAAAATCCATGAATGCCGAGAGTCTGTTACGTTCTGTCTTCCATGTAGAACAGCTATTGGGTTGTTGATGTCTGACAGGAAGAATTGTAATCTCTAATCCGTCGTGCATTTTCTTCCGTGTACTTATTCCCTCTATGAGTTTGTGAGAGTGCCTGTGTACCCTTAGTCTGTCATGCCCATCCGTCGCTCGCTGTTTTTTCACTGTCGAAGTTTTCACACTTCCAGGTGGAGCCCAAATGCTACCTCTCGAAAGTGCCAGTACGTTTTTCTGGGATCCCACGTAGTGCATCTCATTCAAGAGTATACCCAGACCAGGTCTATTATTTACACCCCTGCCTCCATTAGGTAGGAATGTGTTGTGAGCAAATCCTATCCCATTTTTCTCATCTTCATGCCATGAGACAAGCCCTGGCCAGTGGTAGGTGACAAGAAGAGTTTACGTTGTCGGTAGGCCGCTTTTAGATGGGATTTCAGTGTCCTCACTAGACAGTCCTCCGCCCGCACCGTGTCCTTTCCCTTTAAGAAAAGGCCCACACTGGCCCAGTGTGGCCAAACCCTTATCCCGTTTCCCCCGAGACTTCCGTCTGATTGTCAGAACATCTGTTCTTAAGGAAGCTGTACCTCTAACGTTTTCTTGTATTTTATCACAACACTTAGAGCAACTCCAAAGTTCTGTCTCCTCTGGTCATTTCTCAAACCCTTTCCAAATACCATCTCATGTCATTGGTGACCCGAACAGCCAGCTCCAGCTTGCCTTCATTCTAAAATTGGAGTTAAAGTTTTGTTCTGGAAAAGCGGGTCATCCTTCCTTATGTTGTCCCCATTCTGGCCTGGTCATTTTGGTGAATCCCTCGTGTCCCACAGACTTCTCAATTGACCGGGAGCTTTGGAGTCAAACAAGCCTGGTTTGGATTCTCAAGTATGGCATTTGTTAGCTATATAACCTTGGTTTCCATCTCTGCGAAGCAGGGGTAATGAGATTCATTCTTTTTTTTTTTTTTTTTTTTTTTAATTTTTTTTTAAACATTTATTTATTATTGAGAGACAGAGCATGAGCACAGGAGGGGCAGAGAGAGGGAGAGATACAGAATCTGAAGCTGTCAGCACAGAGCCTGACACGGGGCTCAAACTCAAGCCTTGAGATCGTGACCTGAGCCGAAGTCGGACACTCAACCGACTGAGCCACCCAGGCGCCCCAGTGAGATTCATTCTGAAGAGTCAGTGTTAGGATTGTGTAAAGTGCTTGGCACATAAAAGGTGTTAACGAGTGGTAATTATGAATTCCTTAATTGAATTTATGCGTACTTTTCCTTTTCAGAGAGCCCGAGCCCAGCACATTGTACCCTGTACCATATCTCAGCTGCTTTCTGCCACCCTGGTCGATGAAGTGTTCAGAATTGGGAAGGTTGAGATTTCACAGGTAAGTAAAGTAACTTGTTGCAGGTTCCCTTGCTCATATGAAGCATGAAATAAACTTTCTTTAAAAACACATAAATGTTGTTTTAGTTTCCAGGAAAAGCCAACTTTTTTTTTTTCTTTCTGATCTAGGTCACTATCGTGGGTATCATCAGACATGCAGAGAAGGCTCCAACCAACATTGTTTACAAAGTAGATGACATGACAGCTGCGCCCATGGATGTTCGCCAGTGGGTTGACACAGATGTAAGCGGCTGTTTCAGGGTGGGGTTACTTTGGGGCTTTGGAGAGGTTGAACTTTTGTCTCACTTTGTAATTTCTTCCTGTAAGAATAATTTACAAGCAAGATATCAAAGGCAGAGACCCTGCAATGAAAGGTTAATACATTTGGTTTCATGGAAGTTTCAAATGTTCTCAACTTCACTATCCTTATAAGCAAAGTTAAAAGGCAAGTGACAGGAGGTGCTAGAATGTAAACTCCGTGAAAACGGGGTTTTGTTGTTGTTGTTATTGTTCTTTTGTTTTTCAGGACAGGGATTTTTGTCTCGGTCACCATTGTATCCCCCTCACCTAGAACAGTGCTAGTTACATGGTGGGCCCTCGGTAAATATTGTTTAAATCAGCGGGAAGGTTTTTTGTGACACATTACAAATGTTAACATTTTTCAATTAGTAAAAGCTATTACAAAGCAAAAAAAAAAAAAGCCACTGCGTCTTAGAAAAATGGGCAAAGAAGATGCAGAGATAATTCATAAAAGGTGAAACATAATTTGCAATGGTAACAAGCAGGTTTAATAAACATTAAGGTACCGTTTTTAACTTATTAAATTAGCATAGAAAAAAAAAAAGAATGTCCACTTGTGGTAAGAGTAGTAGCTAACACAGTGCCTCTGGCACTTAGCACTTAGAACGTTCGTTGAATGATTTGCCATTATTTCTCCAGGGAAGCGGATACCATCCTACCTTGATGGTTTGAGTACAGATGAGTATAACCTACCTCAGCAATCAGCCGGTGGTCAAAATCACCCATCATAAAAATGTTGACCTGGCACTCCACTGCTAGAGGTTTACGTTAAGGAAGTAATTAAAGATGTGTGCCAAGATTCAGCTGTAAGAATCTTGATCATAGCATTGTTTCTTTTTTTTTTTTTTTTTTAATTTTTTTTTTCAACGTTTATTTATTTTTGGGACAGAGAGAGACAGAGCATGAACGGGGGAGGGGCAGAGAGAGAGGGAGACACAGAATCGGAAACAGGCTCCAGGCTCCGAGCCATCCGCCCAGAGCCTGACGCGGGGCTCAAACTCACGGACCGCGAGATCGTGACCTGGCTGAAGTCGGACGCTTAACCGACTGCACCACCCAGGCGCCCCAATAGCATTGTTTCTAATAATGAAAAATTAGGGATGTCGTGGGGGCTCAGTTGGTGAAGCATCTGACTCTTGATTTTGGCTCAGGTCACGATGTCACGGTTGTGTCAGGCTCACGCTGAGCATGGAGCCTACTTGAGATTCTCTTTCTCCCTCCGTCCCTCTTCCCCACTCATGTGCACGTGCTGTCTCTCTCCCTCTCACTCTCTAAAAAAAGGTGTGGGGGCCGGGGGGGGGGTGCCTAGATGGCTCAGTCAGATAAGTGTCTGACTTGTGGTTATTCGGCTCAGGTCACGATCTCACAGTTTCATGAGTTTGAGCCCCACGTCAGGCTCTGTGCTAACAGCACAGAGCCTGCTTGAGATTCTCTCTCGTACTCTCTATTCCTCCCCCACTTGCACTCTCTCAAAAAAATAAAAGAAAGGGGGGTTGCTTAGGTGGCTGAGTCGGTTAAATGTCTGACTTTAAGTTCTACATTATCACTTGCAATGGTGTGAAGTATCCCATTGTGTAAATGCATGACTGTTGGGTATTTAGGTTGTTTTCAATTTTTTAGTATTCTAAACTATGCCATATGAATATTCTTGAAGCTTTAAGTGTTAAGTAATCTCTACACCCAACATGAGGCTTGAACTCAAAACCTCAAGATAAAGAGCTGCATTTAAAGCTAAATCTAAATGCATGTTCTTAATTATTTCCTTAAAATCCTACAGGTAGAGTTGCTATGCTGATAAGTGTATCCACCAGAAAGTTGTATGCCCAAGACCATTTGAACACGAGTGCATATTGTCTTTTTTTTTAAATATATGTATATTTTTAATTTATTTATTTTGAGAGAGAGAGAGTGCAGGAGTGAGGAAGAGAGAGAATCTCAAGCAGGCTCCACACTGTCAGCATGGAGCCCAATGCAAGGCCCACGAACTGTAAGATCATGACCTGAACTGAAGTTGGACCCTCAACCGACTGAGCCACCCAGGGGCCCCTAGCAGTTTTTCTTTTCTTTTCTTTTCTTTCTTTTTTTTTTTTTTTATGTTTATTTATTTTTGAGAGCAAGAGAGAGAGACAGAGCATGAGCAGGGAAGAGGCAGGGAGAAAAGGAGACACAGAATCTGAAGCAGGCTCCAGACTCTGAGCTGTCAGCACAGAACCTGACGCGGGGCTCGAACTCACAAACCGTGAGATCATGACCTGAGCCCAAGTCGGACGCTTAACCGACTGAGCCACCCAGGCACCCTTATAATTTAGCAGCTTCAGAGTTTCACCAACATCTCTAAAACCTTAGTGTGATACGTATTTTATCTTTTAGGATGCCAGCAGTGAAAACACAGTGGTTCCTCCAGAAACGTATGTAAAAGTGGCTGGCCATCTGAGATCTTTTCAGGTAAAGTCAGAAAAAAAATGATAGTTGAAATATGTTTGCATGAAGCAATTTCTGGATTCATGCCTGAGTTTAGGATACTTAAGATTGAACCAAGCCTTTATATTCAGCGGGTGTTAGACTGAAATTTTTTCATTATTCTCTTCAAAGAAATAATGGGTTTTGACCTTAATATAAAACTAACAGAATGGTAGGGAAAGAATAGGATCCCTGCCTATAATTGCCATCTGTGGCATCAGCTAGGGGTAAAAGGAGGACACAGGATTCGCAGTCAGACTATACTCTGCTCGGCTGTATAAGCTCGCGCAAGTCATTGAACAGCTCTGAGCTCTAGCTTTGGTTTTTTTCTCCCATTAATAACTTTATTTGGATTAACCTTAAAAATTTGAAGTATATAATACATTTTCTCCATTTTGGCAAAATATAACCAGGAAAAGTGCCACGGTGTTTTAACCTGAAGTTGATTTGAATGTGCTCGTGCTTCATTTACCTTTTTCTCTTTATTTCAAAAGAACAAAAAAAGCCTGGTAGCCTTTAAGATCATGCCTCTGGAGGATATGAATGAATTCACCACACATATTCTGGAAGTAGTCAACGCACACATGATCCTGAGCAAAGCTAACAGCCAGGTGAGCAACTTTACTCTCAGAACTTTCCCTCTTCTCTGGAAGAACATAGACCGCTCTGTGCTACAGCTTTGATTTTCTTGACATTTTGAAGGTTGGGCCGGAAGAAAGGCCTCACTCCGTCCTCAGAACGTTTTCTTTGTGAGCTTTGCCATGTTATTTTATTCCAGAGGAAGCACTCGTGTTTCTCAGAATTACAAGTTCCTCTGACCCCACTGACTTGAAAGGCCGAGGCCTAAGACAACCTTCAAGTGTAGACGTATAATTAGAGGCTGAGCACTTGGCTCTAGGATTATATTCATAGAAAAACCCCCACTAGGAGGTATTTTACTGCTTTTTTTTGAACCTGTTGGCTAAATAAGAAAAATTATGGACCATTATTTTGCCCCTGAAGTTATTTTTCTTGCTGAATATTGAAATTTCTCAACATTATTTTATGCTGTGTGAATTCCATTTGGGTAGTCCATCTAGGACCCCACAAAAGGTTTATTGATTCTTGTATTAGAATGTCCTTAGATTATCTAGGGGTGCCTGGCTGGTTCAGTTGGTAGAGCATGTGAGTCTTAATCTCGGGGTTGTGAGTTTACGCCTCATGTTAGGTGTGGAGCTTGTTTTAAAAAACATTAGCAAAAGGGGTGCCTGGGTGGCTTGGTCGGTTGAGTGTTCAACTCTAGATTTCGGCTCAGGTCATGAGCCAGGGGTCGTGGGATTGAGCCCTGCGTCAGGCTCTATGCTGTGCACGGAGCCTGCTTGAGATTCTCTCTCTCTCTCCCTCCTTCTGCCTCTCTCTCCCACTCATGCTCTCTTTCTCTCTCAAATTAAAAAAATATAGCAGGGAACCTGGGTGGCTCAGTCAGTTAAGTGTCTGACCCTTGGTTTCAGCTCAGGTCACGATCTCATGGTTCGTGAGTTCAAGCCCCGCGTCAGGCTCTGCGCTGATAGTGCGGAGCCTGCTTGGGATTCTCTTCTCTCTCTCTCTCTCTGCCCCTCCTCTGCTCATTCATTCTCCCCACCCCCCAAATAAATAAATAAATAAACTTAAAAATAAAGTTAGCACAAAAAGAAAAAGAAGAATATCCTTAGGTGATTCTGGTGCCAAGGCGGGGGATTGGTCGCAGTAGGAGAGACTAGAAAACTCTTCAGCCACTAAGGATGTTATTGCATCCTATTCTATGCCAAACAGTTTGGTAAGCACTGGGGATACAGAGATAAATGTATTCATTCGTTCATTCATTCATTTCTTGGAGAAATATTTACTGAGCCTGGTATGTGCCAGTCATTACTCTAGGCCCTTAGAAGGTTTCATCTGGGGAGTGATGTGGTCTGATTTGTCTTTTAAAAAATTCATTTGGGCTGGGCTGTTGTATGGAGTACAGATTATGGGGCTCTAAGAATGGCAACAGAATTGATTTGGGAATGGTAGCAGCAGCTGGGGTAAGGAATAGTTGGATTCTGACGGATTTTGGAGGTGGAGCTGACAGGACTTCTTGGTGGGGACATGATATAAAGAGGGAGAGTTCAAAAATGACTTCTGGGTTTGGGGCATGAGCAACCAGATGAAGCTAGCAAATCTGGGGGTAAAATCCAGACTTCTGTTTGGACTTCCCAAATATGAGGTGCTCATGCAATATCCAAGTGGAGAACAGAATGGATGGTTGAATATGTAGAACTGGGATCCAAGGGGGAGAGGTCAGGGCTGGAGGCAGAACTTTGGGAGTCGTCGTGTAGGTGATATTTAAAGCCTTGGATTAGATAAGGTAACTGGGGAGTTCAGAGGTCAGAGACCTGAGCTCTGGGACACACTAATCTTTAGCAATTTGGAGAAGAGGAGCCAGTGGAAGTCAAAGAAGTTGCAAATTGGGCAAGAGGAAACCAGGGAATGTGATTCTGTAGAAGATTCTGAAAAGAGTATTTTTAGGAAGGAGGGGGTGGCAGTCAACTGTAGAATGCTGCCTTGAAGTCAAGGAAGGTGATGGGAGAGGTCTCCTGTTCGATTTAGAAACATGGATCTTTGGGGCGCCTGGGTGACACGGCTAATTAAGTGTCTGCCTTAGGTTCAGGTCATGATCTCACAGTTTGTGAGTTCAAGCCCCACATTAGGCTCTCTGCTGTCAGCCAGAGCCTGCTTCAGATCCTCTGTCCACCCCCTTCTCTCTCTGCCCCTGTCCCACTCACATACTCTCTCTCTCTTAAAAAGTAAACTTAAAAAACAATTATAAAAAGTTAAAAAAAAAAGGGGGGGGAGATGCCTGGGTGGCTCAGTCAGCATCCAACTTTGGCTCAGGTCAGGTCATGATCTTGCAGTTGTGGGTTCAAGCACTGCCTTGGGCTCTGTGCTGACAGCTCAGAGCCTGGAGCCTGCTTTGGATTCTGTGTCTCCCTCTCTCTCTGCCCCTCTCCTGCTCACGCTTTGTCTCTTTCTCTCTCTCTCTCTCTCAAAAATCAATGAACATTGAAAAGAATTACAAAACTAAAAAAAAAAAATAGGTTTAAAAAAATTAAAAACATGGATCTCCAAAAGGGAGGCTTTGGTGGTAGAAGATGGGGGAAGTAGGTTAAAAAGAACAGAATTGTGTATGGAAAGTTTAGGGTGTTGGGGCACCTGGCTGGCTCAGTTGGAAGAGCATGCAACTCTTGATCTTGGGATCATGAGTTCATGTCCCACATTGGGTATAGAGGTTACTTAAACATAAATAAAGTTTTTTAAAAAGTTAAGGGGTGTGTCTTATATTACCGTATTTAATGACATATATGTATGTATCAAATATATCATAAAAATGATTTTAAATTGAGGGTGGGTGGTTAGGGAGTAGAAACTGGGGGTGTAGACAATTGTATTGAGTAAATAACCCCCCCCCCCCCCAAAGAGTTGGTGTCTGAGCATTGGAGATTCAGATCACTTTAAGCTGTGAGAGCAGTGTAAGTGGCGAGCACAGGGTGCTGTGAAACCACGGAGAAGGGTTTCCTGTCCTGATCTGGACATCAAGAAAGACCCCTTGGTGGGGCACCTGGGTGACTCAGTCAGTTAAGCATCCTACTCTTGATTTCAGCTGAGATCTTGATCTCAGGGTTGTGAGTTCAAGCCCCTTGTTGGGCTCAGCGCTGTACATGATGCCTACTTAAAAAAAGAAAGACCCCCTTGGAGCAGGTGATGCCTAAACCAAGTCCCAGGTACAGGAGGTGGGGCTACCTGAAGGAGGACATGAAACCCTTTCAAGCAGAGTATCTGGGTAAGAAATCGTATTCAGTTCGGTATTCTTAGATCATAACATGTGAAGCTTCTGTTTCACAGCAGGCAGTGTGAAGGCATCTAACTTGAAAACAAGGGATCGTGATCGATTTTTGTTTATTACCTCAAAGCAATAGGCGTTTAATGAATGTTTATTAAATGACGGACTCTCCTGACTGGATGGGATTTCTCCTGATGAACTTCCACAGTGCTCTTACACCTGTAATGGGCACTTACCATATTTGATCTTCTATCTTGCTTATTTATTCAGTGCAGTAGGTTAAACATCGACTGGGCACGTACTGCACCAGGCACTGTGTGAAGACGAAGGGGCTAGTGGAGGAAAGTGACAGGAGAACAGCATGATGGCTGTTGTGAGAGGGAATGGGCCAAACATGTAAGAGCCAAGGAAAGAACATGGCTAACCTGGCCTGGGGCGTGTCAGAAGGCTCTGCAAAGGCAGTGGCAGTTAAGTTGGCCTCGAAGGATGAGAAGTCAGCGTTTACTAGGCAGATGAGGGAGGGGCATTCCAGACAGGGAACGGCATGTTCAGGTCAGAGGCATGTTTGTAGCTGGCAAGAAGTCCAGGTGCAGCTGGGGAGTGAAGTGTATTGAAAAGAAATGGCCAAGAGCAAAATAGAGATTTTGACATCTAGTGGTACGTCTTAAATGTGTAGGTTTATATTATTTCCACAGGCAGGGGGAGCCACCTGAAAGCTTTCTGTCAGAGGAGGGACACGATTAGAAGCTGTTAACGTGGTAGCAAAGAGAAGGACTGACTGGAGTAGGCCAGACTTAGCGGCCAAAATGGCGCCAGGAAGCCAGGGTGAGGAGAATGGGCTCGAGCACCACCGAAGATCGTGTGATAGGCTATGGTGACAGGTTGTGGGAGGTGAGTGAATGGACAGTTGAAGTCTGCAGGATTGCATTTGGGTTTACTCTCACATTGGGTTTGGAATAGAGCAGGGCAAGCAGGTTTGGGGAAGGATGTAATTTTGCTTTGAAGCGTGTGAGAGAGCTAGGTGGACGTAAGTCCAGTCAATGGCTGGGAACAAGGCATTGTGGCCTAGAAGGAGGTCTGGGATAGAATCCTGGGGGATCGATCAGCCTTTTGGGAGATGGGTGGAGAGAAAACTGGTAAGAGATACTGAGAAGGTATAGTTTGAGTAAGTCGGGAACCAGAAGAGTATGCCATCAAGAAGTCTAGGGAGGGGTACATTTCAAGAGTGTGATCAGTATGTCTTTCTGTGAGAAGTCACATGTTTGGAGGGCTGAAAGAGACTGTCGGGTAGGTTGCTTGAAAAGTCATTGCTGATTTTGGTGAGAACAGTGTGAGAGGTGTATTTAAAGTTTTTTGGGTTTTTGTGTGCTTTTTAAGTTTATTTATTTTGAGAGAGAGTTGGGATGGGGGAACAGAGAGAGAATCCCAAGAAGTTACTATGCTGTCAGTGCAGAGCCCAACGCAAGGCTCGATCTCACGAACTGCAAGATCATGACCTGAGCCAAATCCAGGAGTTGGACCGAGCCACCCAGGCGCCCCCCGAGTTCTATTTAGTGAGATTCCAAATAGTGGTGGGCTGGGGAGTGACTAAGAAGGGAAATGGAAACAGTGATTATAGCCCGTTATTTTTTAAAATTTGGTGCTAAAAAAAAAGAACAAAAGAGTGACGGGCACTTTTTTTCTCTCCTTGTCATGCTTCATGCCTACGTGACCACAGATGCTTGAGTGGGACTGTGGGGAGAGGGTGAAATGGGTGAAGGGAAGTAAGAGATACAAACTTCCAGTTATAAGGTAAGTAAGTTACAGAGAGGAGAGGCATAGCATAGGGAATATAGTGAATAATATTGTAATAACATTGTGCAGGGACAGGTGGTGACTACATTTATCATGGTGAGCGTCACGTAATGTAAAAAATTGTCAAATCACTGTGTTGTGCACCTGAAGCTAGTATGTTAACTGTACTTCAATAATAAAACTTCTTTAATAATAATATGGGGCGCCTGGGTGGCTCAGTCGGTTGGGCGGCTGACTTCAGCTCAGGTCATGATCTCGCGGTCCATGGGTTCGAGCCCCGCGTCGGGCTCTGTGCTGACCGCTCAGAGCCTGGAGCCTGTTTCCGATTCTGTGTCTCCCTCTCTCTGCCCCTCCCTCATTCATGCTCTGTCTCTCTCTGTCTCAAAAATAAATAAACGTTAAAAAAAAAAATTAAAAAAATAATGATAATAAAGTCAAGAGCAAGGTAAGAATACCCCAAAATAATAAATGAGTGAATGACTACATGCATGCATGTTTAAATGATTAAGCACCAAGGAAAGATACCATTATAGCGGATCTCCAGGTAATTTTCTTCTCGGTGCTAGTTTTCCTTTGGTTCCCCTCAGCATCACAAAAACAAGAATGAGCCAGGAGGTACCCTTCTCTCTGATATCATGTGCTTCAGAGGGTCACTTTACCTTCCTTTGAAATACTCATTAATGATGACAGCTATCCCTTCCAATGTAAGCAGTTGTTACTGGGAAAACTACTTAAATTCTTTTTTGTGAGCCGCTTATTAATAAGCTATTTACACTAACAAGGACTGTTTTTTAAATTGGTAAGTGTTCTAACGTTGTGAACTTTCTTAATTCAGCCCTTAGCAGGGAGAGCAACTATCAGCAATCCAGGAATGGGTGAAGCAGGGAACTTTGGTGGGAATAGCGCCATACCAGCAAATGGCCTCACTGTGGCCCAAAACCAGGTAAACACTGAGTGGCTCCAAAAATTCAAGACACAGAGAGTCCTAAATTTGTTACTTCCTTAATGATTCTAAGGCTTTCTAAGTACCTGACTCATTACTTTGTTATAAAGGGACTCAGGTAGGGGTGCCTGGGTGGCTCAGTCAGTTAAGCATCCAACTTCGGCTCAGGTCACGATCTCATGGTCCGTGAGTTCGAGCCCTGCATTGGGCTCTGTGCTGACAGCTCAGAGCCTGGAGCCTGTTTCAGATTCTGTGTCTCCCTCTCTCTCTCTGACCCTCCCCCGTTCATGCTCTGTCTCTCCCTGTCTCAAAAATAAATAAATGTTAAAAAAAAAAAAATTTTTTTTAAAGGGACTCAGGTTTACATAAGGGAGTGGATTCAGAGTAGTTGCTAAAATCTTTCTCATTTGACTCTTCAGGTGCTGAGTTTGATTAAGGCTTGTCCAAGACCAGAAGGATTAAACTTTCAGGATCTCAAGAACCAGCTCCAGCACATGTCTGTAGCCTCAATAAAGTGAGTATTTGGTTTCCATCGGCTGGGGCTCCAGAATTATACCCATTTGACCTCACTAGAGTTTTCTGGTAATGGAGAAGTAAGTTTAAAAAAACAAAAAAAAACCTGTCAGCTGCCGTCTTAACTGACAGAAGGGAAGTTGTCCAGTCACGAAAAGAAAGAAAGAAAAAGGACTTACAAAAATGATGCTACCCGTCACGTCATTCGTTCACTTGTTCATTTAACAAATAATGAATCCCGTTACGTGTGGTGATTGGAATTTTGGACAAAAACTGACCAGATAAATTTGACGTCTTGTGGAATTCAGTCTGGAGGAGTGAGATCCTTAGCTCCTGGTCCTCAGCTAGTAACAGTCCCATTGGTGTTACTGTTCCACTGTGGAGATGTGGGTTTGGCTGTCTGACCCTGAAACTGTAGACGGTCCTTCCAACATCCTTTCTCTGATTCCGTGGTAGACAAGCAGCTTCCTGATTCTGGTGAACGAATCCAACCAACAGTATTTTGGTGCTTGTGATAGTTACTTGTTACTGTAAATCAGTTGATATTCTAGGCTTACACAGAATGAAAAGGCTTGGGTCTAATCTCATTTCCTGTTTTAAACAAAGTGAAGATCTTAATTCTTATCTCAGAGTTACAGTGTTGATGAGGTACAGAATCCCTGTCATGTGGTAATTGCTCTGCAAATTATTACCGTTATTACATATGTTACTGGCACTGATCCAGAGGGCCTTGAAGGGTGTCCTGTCATTTCCGGAAAGATCTTTCCTTTATGCCCTGCAACTTTACTTCCCAGAGGGGGAGCAGGAGGGTTGTGATGGGTGGGTAGGGAGGAGGAACTTTTAGAAGTAGCTGTTTATGCTAGGAGAGTCTGTGTGCGAGCTGGACTGTGTTTTTAGATTCTTCGTTTGCTTACACGGGCATCTGAGTTAGGCCCTCGTTTCTTGTGTTTACACAGTTTGGGAGAGGAGTCCAAGGCACCCCTGATAGCCATTGTCTCCGTGCATTATCTCAGTTTTGCAGTTTTACTGGTATTTCTCCTTGTAAGAGCGCTGTGAACAAAGTGGCTATGAATTCTTAGCTAAGATAAAAAATGGGAAGTGAGTAAAATCTATGTTTGGCCGTATCCAAAAGGCAGTTTCCTGTCTTCTGCATCAGTTTAAAATGAGCCTTTTTTTTTCTTTCTTTGTTTCTTCTAGGCAAGCTGTAGATTTTCTTAGCAACGAGGGACACATCTATTCCACTGTGGACGACGATCATTTTAAATCCACAGATGCAGAGTAACTGGGTCTACTTGAGTACCCGAGGTATTTTCCAGCTGGACCTGTTGTCTCCAGCTGCGCATGTTTGGCCAATTGACTTCTAGGGAGTAGCTTTCAGCTAGAAAGGGTCTCATTTTTGAAAGTTACTGCTCTTCTTTTTTGTTTGTTTGTTTGTTTTTGTTTTTTGAAGCTCCATTTTGGGCAACTGACAGAATGTACACCTGGGTGGACTTTCTTAAAGAAGTTTCTTAAAGAAGTTACAACATCAGCACAAATGGAAGTGGAAGAGAGATGCTACCAAGAGAGTGGGGCAGCATTACTCAAGCTACACCCGGGAGTTTCCACTCCTAACATGTTTCCTGTTGGAAGAAGATGAGCAGGACCCAGGGCCTTCAGCGGGGAGCGAGCCAAGAAGCCCCCTAATCTCTGCCTGCTTTTGTTCCCCCCCTTTGGTTATAGGGTGTTATTTTTCAGAATTGCGCTCTCCTTCACCTCGTCACGGCTGCTGCCGAAAGTGTGTTGTTACGTTCTAGAGTGGTGGCCTCATGAGGGCAGGAGAGAGCAAGAGATGTTACTTCGGTTTCATACAAAATAAGTGCCCCCATATGTCTAATAAAATAGTTCTATTGCAGAATTTGTGAAAATGTTCTTCTTCTTCCTAAGCTGGTGTAATTACTACTGGATTATCCGAGGCACGTAGCATAGCTTGCTTTGGGTTTGAAATCCTGGCTTTTCCACTTCTAGTTAGGTTCTTGGGCCGGCCACATCAGTGCTGAGGGCCTCCCATTTATTCATGAGAAGAGAACAGCGTCAGTTCCTATAGGTCTGTTGTGAAACTCGAGTAAGATGATGTTTGTAAAGCATCAAGCGTTGCCATTCTGAATCTTGACTCTGGCAGTATGTGGTCACGTAGCCGGATTGAGCGTCGGCCATTTGACCCCAAGAGGAGACTGTCTGAAGGCCTACAGCTATTTTGGCCAGCTTAATCATTTCCACTTCTTGTGGGAGGGAACACTAGCTCAAAGATGTTTTTGACAACTCCAGAATGTAAGCTATGTCTTGAATAAAAGAACTAATTCTGAGGTAAGTTAATGAGGTATAACATGCAAATAAAAATTCTGTAACTGCTTTAACTGTGTTTCTGAGTGAAACCTACTAGCAGCAGTGCGGGAAAGGCCCCACCCTCCAGTTTCTAAAAGTGAACAACAGTCTGGTGGTTGTTTCTGTACCTGCCGAACGGTTCCTATCTAGGGAGCTATATTCGTGCGTAAAAGTCAGTCAACCAGTACATTATCTGCAGATCTGTCTATATTTTGAGAGAGAGCACAGGGGAGGAGCAGAGGGTGAGGGAGAGAGAGATCCTAAGGAGTTTCTGCGCTGTCAGCACAGCCCAATGTGGGGCTCGATCTCACAACCTCGAGATCACGACGTGAGCTGCTCTCAAAAGTCGGACGCTTAATGGACTGAGCCACCCAGGCACCCCAGGCATGGTTTCCTTTTAACCTCCTCTCTCCTAGCTGTGAAATTGCTTTTCTTTCTCCTCATTGCAGTGTTTGGCCACTCAGAAATCCCATTATGTAGGAATGGGTAGCCCTCTTTTCTGTCCCCCTTTTGTGATCTTGCTCAATTTGGTGCCACAATTAAATGCAGACGGAAGTGAATTTTGCATGTGGGCTTGGTCCTAAGGGTTCTGTGCCAAGAAGGAACTTTTTTTCTTACTTTCTTGCTTATTGTTTGTCCCAGAGCACACTCTTCCTCAGGGTCCCGTGTAGTTTAGATGGTCTCTGCAGGAAGGCATGGGAACTGGCCCACCAGCCTGTATTAGCTGCTTGGTAGTCATCTGGAGAGCTCCATGCTGGGGAAGCCAAGAGGCTTCCATAGGAAGTGCAGTGGGTCCGGACAGCCCAAAGGAGTGTTAGCAGACACAGGAGGGACACACTCAAGTGCAGTACCTAGAATCCAGGCTGCATATTGACACTCTTGGAGCTCGCATCTCAGCTGGAGACTCAGGTCACCTTTTTATCTGTGTCCTATCTCCTGCTGTCCGTGGTGCTTAGTTCTGTGCATCAGTCTAGGAAACCAAAGCCCCACCACTTCCAGAAGTGAGGTCTGTGGTCTTAACTCACGGAACAGGCCTAGACTGACCTTGGAAGCTGAGTTGGTCTCTGCATAGAGCCGGGTTTGTATTTGTTCCCTTATCTCTGTTACACTGGATGGTGAGGCTCTCCAACCGATCAGTACACGTTGTCTCCAGAGTCTAAGAGCTTAGTATATTTCAAACACTGAGATGAATTCTGTGATTAGGGGACAGTGGGAATAGGGAAAGAACATAGGTTTTAGAGGGGTGCCTGGATGGCTCAGTTGGTTAATCATCTGACTCTTGGTTTTGGCTCAGGTCATGATCTCATGGTTTGTGAATTTGAGCCCTGCATCAGGCTCTGTACTGACAGCATGGAGGCTGCTTGGATTCTCTCTGTCCCTCTTCTGCTCATGCATTCTCTTCGCTCTCTCTCTCTCTCTCTCTTTCAAAATAAACATTTAAAAAAAGAACATAGGTTTTAGAGACAGGTACAGTTATGTGATCTGGGTCAACAATAAGGATAATTAACATTCTTACTGAGTATTTATTATGTCCCGGGCACTGCACTAAATACTTTACCAAGGGGCACCCAGCTCGCTCAGTCAGTTAAGCAACCAACTCTTGATTTTGGCCGAGGTCATGATCTCACGGTTCATGGGTTTGAGCCCTGCATCAGGTTGGGATCCCAAGCCCTGCTTGGGATTCTCTCTCTCAAAATAAATAAACTTTAAAAAAAAAAAAAAAAAACTTTACCAAGATTACCTCATTTAATCCTTAAAACAATTGGGGCGCCTGGGTGGCTCAGTCGGTTAAGCGTCCGACTTCGGCTCAGGTCATGATCTCGCGGTCCGTGAGTTCGAGCCCCACGTCAGGCTCTGTGCTGACAGCTCAGAGCCTGGAGCCTGTTTCAGATTCTGTGCCTTCCTCTTTCTCTGACCCTCCCCTGTTTGTGCTCCCTCTCTCTGTCTCAAAAATAAATAAACGTTAAAAAATAAAAAAAAAAACAATTTTGTGAGGTAGAAAACTATTAGTTTCATTTTACATATGAAGAAACTGAAGCTTAGGGAGGTTAAAATAACTTGCTCATAGTCATGGCTGATAGGTGGTGAGCTGGGGTCCTAACTCAGCTCATGACTAGTCTGCTTCCTAAAGCACCTGACCACTCAAACTTGTATTCTGATCTTTAAAATCGGGCCAGTGTCTATCTTAGAGAGTTAAGGATTTAGATCATGTTTATAAAGGGTCTGGCACACGACTTAACTAAATGATACCTGTTAACCATTTTTCCAGGAGCCCAGATGTCATTTTTATTCAATGGTTTTCGAGTGAAAAAATCTTGGATAGTCACCTGCAGCTCTCATGTGCTGTGTACTGCAGAGATGAGAGGGTCCTGGTCTCTCGGGGGCTTAGAATTGGGTGGGGGAAGAGGAGAAGGAGTGGGCCAACAACGAGGGGGTGGCAAACATAACAAAAGGCTCTTGGTGCGGTGTGGTCAGGATTGAATCCCCTTTACCAAGAGGCAGGAAACACTGTGCCACCGCCGCCCAGTTTGGTGTTCTCTGATTACTGTCTGCACCAACCAGTGAGACGACTGGTGCTGGGGACTCAGGATGAGTAGAACCCAGTTGGCTCCTCTGGGTACCAAAACTCTGAGGCTGAGGGAGTGCAAGGTGCCAGGAGCCTAGAACCGGAGGGAAGCTGGTACAATGTCCATCCCTTTATAGATCAGGCCCCCAGAGTCCTTTGCCATCCGTAGTCTGATTTCAGTGAGATCCCGTCCACGGTCTTGTAATGGTTGGCTGGTATCTCAGATTCCCTGAGAAGCAGCAGTTAAGAAGCAGGGCTCCTCCGGCATCTACAGGGTATTCCGAAATTGTTCAAGTACTTCTTCATAATCATGTTCGTCATCATCTGCAGAAGAGTTCAAGTCAGTGACGATCTTTGGCCTTAAGCGGGTTCCTTCCCCTTTTTAGGGCACCGGACAGGGAAGGAGTTGGTGTGGATGCTCTGAGGTCCTTGCTAGACCAGAAACTACAATTTATTCTTTCTGAATACCGTGTAAATATTCCCCCTGCATGCCTTGGGGAGGGTAGTATGTTTGAGGATGAACTCATTTTCCTTGCCAGGACTTGAGCCCCTGAGAGGGGGACAGTAGAGACACCCCCCCCCCCCCCGCCCCAGCCTCAGCCCACCTCTTAGAAGCCTGTCTGTCCGGCTGGGACTGCGGAAAGGCCTGCTCAGGAGCAGGGAAGGCCAACACCAGCAGAGGTGAGAGCAGCAGCAGAGGAGCAGAGTAGGGAGGGGAGAAGCAAGGACACGGCTGAGCAGGAGCTGGCAGGGACTCACCTGGAGCCTTTGTGTTGGACTTAGTGGCCCTGAGGCCCTTCTTGTGGGCAGAAACCTTGCTGTATGTATCTGAGCTGTTCTTGGCCCTCTGTGGCAGTGTCTTCATCCTGGGTTTGAGGAGCAGGGGGCATTGCTGCAGTTCTAAGACTTGAGAAGACTAAGTGGGAGAAAAAGCAGAAGTCAGCAGGGTCCATGACATGTAATTCCCTTCAAATGTCACTTCCTCTGCTCCCTTCGACTTCCTTTTCAGGGTAGGGCTTCTCGGGACCCCAAGCGTCTTTGCTGCTAGCATATCCGAACTGTTCTTAGGCAGAGGAGACAGGCCAGGCTGAGAGATGAAGGGTTGGGGGCTAGAGATAGGGTGCGCCGAGTGTCTCCACAGAGAGGATTCACATCCGCTGCTGAAGGGTGGGGGGCAGGGGGGGACAAGCACAAATTCTCAGGACAGGTGCCAGAGCTGAGAGCGGTCCCAGAAGGAAGAGGGCTTTTGTGGGACTCCTACCTCATGCCATAGGCATACCTGCTCATTTATCCTCAGGTGACCCTCTGAATAGCTGTTTGAATTCCCCATGAACACATGAGGGAAACAGGCTCAGAGAGAGTGTACCATGTCAGACCTCAGGATCGCAAGCTGAGCCAAGGTTCAGACCCGGAACCATGTCCGTGGCTTCTAAAGCTGGTGCTCCTCCCACCACACTGTGCTTTGGAGAGCAAACAGTATAGGGCCCCTCATTAGCAGTGGGGTATACTGATGCTCAGAAAAGTTGCAGGATCAAAGGCAGGGAGCAGGGACCGGGCCCAAATTCGCTTCCAACAGGGGCGAAGGCTGGGACTGAGGTCTCAGTTCTTTGTACTGCGGGGTTTCCAGCACTGTCAGCAAGGCCTGTGTTTCAGACCCCCCAGCCCGTTCTTTGTTCCAACAGAAAACCACTGCCCTCCTCCCTCCCCTACAGATGCAAGCCTCTTGTGGGGCCGAAACTGCTCAGAATTCATCTTTCTAACCTCCTCTGCTACTCCACCACTTACCCTCACGGTACGAAATAGGAGTCTCCCCAGGTCCCAAGACAGTAACCTTATTACACTCTATAAAGTGCTTTTGATACAGATCATCGGTTATCAGCACAGCACCGTAGTTAGGTGCTCGGGCTGGGTGGCCAGACCCAGTGTCAAACCCCATCCTGCCATTTGCTAGGTTGTGATCTCAGGTCAACTACTTTACCTCTCCCTCTCTTGTCTTCTCAACTGTAGAAAGAGGGGTCAGTGCCCATCTCAGAGGGATGTCATGAGAGCTATTTGGGGTCACGCGCAATATGGCGTCTGCCACCGAGTAGACACCCGGCAGGTAGCCGCTGTGAAGCCGGCATTGTGAGTGATAGTATCTCAGGTTCCCTGGTGAGAAAATGGATACTCAGAGAAGGAGTGCAAGCCACAGAGTGAGTAAACGAAGCCATAAACTTGGTCTTTCTGCTTCCGTGCCTGGTTCTTCCCAATTGTTGTGATTCCGTTTGGACCAGTTCAACACTTACTGGCAGTGCCTGCCTGCCTGGCGGCGGGTGAGGTCCCAGCCCTCACAGACCTCTCCCAACCAAGTGAAAACTAGGTGTGGTCCCGCCCACCCACGCTGTGTACAGCCCACAGTATGAATACAGAAGAGGGAAGGCTGTTGCTGCCAGAGGAAGTCTGAGCTGAGCCTTGCCCACCG